CAAGAAACACAGTGCCAGACAGGAGAAACCTCCCTTCCAGTTGTTGGTTAGGGTGGTCCAAGAGACTACCAAAATAACAAAGGCTATTGCCACAGCCCTTGATTGCCTCCTAGAACTTAAAGGTAAGACCCTATTGTTGAAGGCAGGATATATTTCGATCATAGAACTTGGAGCAATGGTGCTGGAACTGATCTGGAAACCTCCTCACAGAAGACGAGCTCTCACAGTATCAGAGGATACAATGCAAGTTACTAAGGGAGAAAAATCAGTCAATGGTCAAACCCCAGCAGTAAAACCTAATAACTACAACAATGACCAACACAGCAAACTAACTCAATTGGTACAGTAGTGGCACTTTTATCTAGAACTATCTAATATCTAACTGGACTTAAAACCAGCTTGATGGAAGGGAACTGTGTGTGTGCTGTAAATATAGCCAAATACACATGGTTGGAGAGGTCATAGATCCTAGAGAAAAACCTATGTCTGCCATACTAAACATAATTGTAAATATAGCCAAATACACATGGTTGGAGAGGTCATAGATCCTAGAGAAAAACCTATGTCTGCCATACCCCTAAATAAACATAATTTCTTACTGTTTGCTAAACATTTATCCTTATATTTATAGAAAAGTGTACTTCTCACCACCCATCAAAGAAGCTTCTTTTCGCAACAGCTGGAGAGTTCCACAACTGGTCAAACACAGAGAATAAGTGTCTGTGAGGTGCCCAGTCCTAAGTGACACATCTACAATAGAACCTCTACACCTCAGGCTCACAGAACATAGCAGAACAGGGATAGAGAGAATTAATGCATCTCTCAGTTCTTACCAGTGAAGCTTCTTCATGCAACACAGGGTGATTAACATAGAAAGCTGTAACTGACCAAAGTGCAGAGAATAAGAGATTATAGAGTGCTTGTCCCTGGATAGGACCCTTATATTGAAACTCTGCCACCCAGGGCTCAAGAACCATTGTGGAACAGGGAGCAGAAAGACTGTAGGAGCCAGGGGGAGTACATAACCACAAGGAACCAGTTTTCCAAGCAGCCGGGAACTTCTTCATATAAGCTTATAGCCATGATGACAGCATGGACAAGACCTATGCAAACTGTGGAAACTGTGCACAAGACCTATGCAAACTGTGGAACTGTGGAAATGGGTGGGAAGTCCCAACCTTAGCTGAGGAACTTTTGGCAGCTGATCACTGCTGGGTTAAGGAAGATTTTTGTCTTCTTTAAGGGAGTGATACTAGATAGGCTGATCTTGCTCCAGTAGATGAACTCACATGAAGGAACATCTGGGAACACAAGCTTGACTCAATAGGCCATAATATATATGACAGAATGCATGAAATCCAGTGAGGAAATGCTATGATGGGTGCAGATAAGGGAGAGGGTTCTCAACGTGATTAAGATGTATCCAATGTGGACTGGAGAGATGGCTCAGTGGTTAAGAGCATTGGCAGCACTTGTAGAAGACCTGGGTTTGGTTCCCAGCTCACAGCATTAACAAA